GAAGCCCTTCCCTTCTTGTTCCCCTCCCTGTCCTTTGCATGATTCCCACCTGACTCGACTAAGATGGACACAGCACTGAGCTTTCGGGTCTCAGGTGGTTGTTTAAACCCGATCCAGAGTTTATATATGTTCTGTCTCCTGCTTATGTTGTGGGCTTGGGTGTTAGGTGATTTTACTTTTTCCTTTTCAGTATGTTGTTTTTGTTTTTGTTTTTTCTCAGAAAAATGTGTGGAGAGATTCAAATTTAGATGGCCACCAGTTTTCTGTGGAAATCTGGAAACTCACATGTTCTTGGGCCCTTGCACTTGTTTAAGACAAACAGCACTAGAAACTATAATGAAGCATGATAAGTACGGTTGGTAATATAAAGATGATAGGGAACTCCAGCCAGTACTCTGCCTTCGAAGACTGCCAAGTGACTATATATGTTTTTAAGTTAAAGCAGAATGTTTAAAAAACGACGTGTTATTTTTTTTTTTTATTCCCTACTTTACCCTTTTTGACAAAAGAGCTCTACCCTAGGCCCCTAGTCTGTACTAGCAGAGCTCTGCGTGCTGTTGTCGATTTCTTTTGTACTTAGCTGCTGTATTCTAGGATGCCACTCCATGCTAGTTTCTTCTGTTTACTCCCAGATGGTCTGGTGTTCGCTGCTGGGGTGGAAATAGGGAGGGATGCTGCCTGGGGGCGAGGGAGGAGGGACAGAAGGCTTGCTTTGAAGCCTGCAAATGGGAGAGCATTGCCTGTTTTTTTGTGGTGCTGCCCCCTGAGTCCTCTACCTAAAGGTAGACAGAATGACACCATCTTCTGTTTTCCTTGGGATCAGGTTTTGATTCCTCTGGTGGAATCCAAGAATATGTTGTTAATCTCCGCAGCACTGGCATTGGGGACATTCCCTCGGGACTTTGGCATCTGGTCTTCTCTTCATTTTCCAGCACTGTTGCCAGTTTTCATCTCTTTGTAATTCTTCATGAGTTTTATAATGGAAATTGGAATAAAGGCTTATTAGGCCCTGCTGGTTTGCCTAGATACTAACCCCAAAGAACTACCAATTATTTCACATTAATGAGTAGGAAAAAATTATATTAAGGGCATGATTCCATCACTTTTTATAATATTACTTAATATTATTTCTTAAGTCTACTTAAATTTTAATAAGATTCCTTAATAAAAATAACATGAAAAATTCTCTCCTTGTATATAACTTTATACAAATTAATTTTCTCATTAAATATAGTAAAAATGTTATCATTTCCATGCCTAAACTCTTCATTTGTGACCATGTTTGCATGTTAAAATGGCTTTTCAAGGAACATGGGACTTACACAAACCCAGTATTCACGCATTCCCACATAACAAAGGTATTTATAATGGTTACAAATGTGAACTCTGTGGATATATCTGGTTCAAACCTGTCTCCATTTATGTTTTGTGTGATCTGGGTAACAACTCTAAGCATCAGATTCCTCATGTTTAAAATACACTATTAGTGATACCTGCCTCATAGTCACTTACAGGAGGATTTAGTAAAATAATCTTTATAAAGCACTTAGCACAGTGTCTGAGACATAGTAACAGCACTGTATTTTGAAGTGAAGATGATGATGATGAAGATGCTTATAAAGGGTTAATGGGACAGACATTATTATGTAGGTATTTGTTGAAAATTTTTTTAAATTAGTAACTGTTTTTCAAAATTTCACCTCAGAAAATATTGCCCTGGCTGTTTCTCTTTGTAAAAATTTGATACTGCCTTACAGGGTGTGTCTTTTTATGACAGATGGCCAGTAGCTAGTGGTAAAAGAAGTATGGAATGTAATAGCATTTCACTTATTTATGGGAAATATTTTACTGCCCCACCCTTCAACTGGTTGGAAAATGAAAGTCAAAAACTGGAAACTCTATTTATAAATGGACAGTGCTGTGATCTCAGTGTCTGAAACTGTAGACTTTTAGAAAATATAGCATATTGGGAACTAGTCACTGATCAATTTCTCCTTGTTCTATTTTTTAATAAAATTAACCCAGAAAATATGAAATTTGAGGTAAATTAAAATTGAATACTGAAATGTATCAGTCTTCAAGACAAGAAAATGGAGAAAAACTCTTAATAGAGATATTTGAAGTCAATCGAGATATTTGTTAATGGTGCCTAATAATAAACTACATGAGTGAAAATAGAATACATTCAAGGAGATGCTGAGGCCATGTCTACATTTCACTAAGGAGACAATTTAGCATTGTGGTTAGGAGTGGGGAATTCAGGAGTCAGTCTGCCCGAGTTCCAAACCCAATTCTATCACCTCCTTAACCATGTAATCTTGTAACTCACTTAACTGCAGTGTGCCAAGGTGGTGTCTACACCATTGTGTCAAGAATTAAATGAAATAATGCATGTAAAGTATTTAAAATGGTAAATGCTCTACAATTGCTGGTCACTATTATTCCAGTTAGCTCAGCCAAAGACCCCCATGAGACTCCAGTTTGATTGTTATGGACATGTGTGTGATGTGCCCATTTCACTGGTTTAGAGGTGGGCGTCCATCATCATGTGGTCATTGTGAACTGACTGCCTTGGCCTCTAATGCATGCGAGGCAGGAGGTGAACACTGTGCTGTGAGGTCCACGAAGAGTCCCGCAGGTGTTTACCTTAGAGAACTCTCCCTGGTTCCTGTCAGCCTGGGGCCCAAAGAGCTGCCATCATAGCAACTCCCCTTCCCTAGGTTCACCTAAAAACAAGGAACTTGTGTGAGTGTTGAAAAATCACTTACTATAAACATCATCAGTCATTATTCAGAGATTTACTTTCCACAAGTGGAATCAACAGTCCAGGGGAGGTAGTGTTGCTTATACAGCTAAACTGTGCCATCTGTCTAAACTGAAAAACAAGGAAAATTCCCACATAACAGATTGCAGCATATCTTTTTTATATGCAGCTCATCATGGGTAGACTGTATACCTTAGCCTTATTTGATACTGATGCTTTTCTAAAGAGACTCTCACATGGGAGAGAGTTTCACAACAGGCCTTAGAAAGCAGTTATAGCTACCTCATTGTATTTCATAGGAGAACTCTTGCTAGCAAGAAGAATGGGTAAGAATATTAATGTCCATTGTATCTACATATTATTCTTATATCTGCATCTCAGATTGTAGCCTTGTTTTTGTGGTTGTATTTTTCCCGTGTCCGCATAGTTAAAATCTGCATTTTGCAATGAAAGTTGTTATTGATCTTAAGTGACCAGCTTATTCAGTACTCAGTATATCCCAGGCACTGTGCTAAGTGCTTTACAAATGTTGCCTCATTTAATTCATAACATCCATGTAAGTTGGTACTTTTATGCACATTCTGCTAGTGAGAAAAACAGGACTCAAGTTTATATGGCCAGTAATTTGTGGAGTAGAGATGCAAATTTGAAAGGCTGTGCTCATAAAGACAATGCTATTTTGCTTATGAGAAAGCCAGTGCTCCAGAAGTAGGCAGAAGTAAGACCATAAACTATTAAAGCAACTGACATTGCCCAGTTTCAATGTGCTTTGGTTGTATGGAAAAGAAACTTAGAAATAATGTGCAAAAGAATAATGAAATACAGTATTTATAGCATTACCTATAAGTACATATAGAAACATAGAGAAGATAGAAGCTAACACATGTTGTCATACAGCAATAATCACTCACATAAGCATTTTATGAGTTTGATGAGGCCACAATTTATTCTTTAAGATTGTGGTGATCACAATTGATAGTTGGTACAAGCTATTATGAACATACTAAACACTTTTATTTTAATCCAACCCACTTTGGTACACATACTTTTGAGGAAGAAATCGTATCGTATACTAAAACTTTTGTTCAGCAAATGATACTATCAGGAAAGAAAAAAACAAAACAAAAAAACATAGAATTAGAGAAAATATTAACAAAACATGCATATAATAAGGAACTTTCATCCAGAAGATGAAAAATATTGGTGATGGGAATTGAAGGGTTTTGTTTTTTTGTTTTAATACATTTAATTTTGTTTTAACATTTACATTTACTTACTTCACAAATACAACATTGCCAGTCACAATCCAGATTTTCTTGAAATGTCATGGTCCTTAGAATCCCAAAACCACTGCTGTGGATAACTAGCTGTGAGTTTGGGGTGTGGATATTGGGCCACCAGAAAACGTGGCCTCTTAGTACCTCAGGAGCCTTAATTGGTTATTCAGATATGTACAAATCCAGGGCATGAACAGCACTCGGCAATCTCCTATTGGATTATCAAGTTCTCCACAGTTCTCCCCCAGGGACTGGAACTGTGTCTAACTCCTTCCGTAAGGCTGAGTATATACTAGATAAATGACCTGGGTGCTTCCTGCACACCCCACCTACGTCTGATGTTTATGCTCCCATTTTTTTTAAGAATGCTTTTTTGAGAGTCACACAACCCATTATGTGCCCAATAACTTACAATGCGCCTTGCTCTTCGGCAGCGTGAGAGGTTGGACTAAGTGATCTCCAAGGTTTTTTCCCAGCACCACTGTAGGTTGTGATTGTATTTGCATGCACCCTCTTTTCATGTTAAAGAAGTAAATGTATTTCACACATACGTGTAGTAACTATACGTTCTAACCATTGTGCCAATCTGGACAGGGAGGACAGTAGCTTTTCTCACATAAGCTGATATCCACTAGGCATGCTGCATCTGTACTGCTGATGCTGCCACGTGGTAGATGCTCTGTCTTCATTTCATTGTGAGGATTCAGTGTGTTTAAATACAGCTACATTTTCTATTGCAAAAGGTCACCAGACTCATTTTTTTTAAAAATACGCTTGACACTGAAGTTCTTATATAAATGTTCAGTCATTGTTATAATGTAAACAAATGAGGACTACTTGGCGATACATGTCAGTTGGTAAATTTGCTATTTTCTAAACGTATAAGGGTAGGAAGTATTAAAACCACTGATACCCATTTGAGAGAGGAAATTAACGTTTTCTAAAAAATTCTTTTCTAGCGAAGGAAGCCCGTCCCCCAGAATTGAGCTGCTACATAACATCGATCCAGACTTTGTGGACCTTTCTCCCTGTGAGTACCTTGTTCATGGCTGCTAAACAAAATCTGTGTGGCTCGCAAAGATGGATTTCTTACCTAATGTGTCTCTAGCCTTGCTTTCTCTTTTTCCACTTGAGTTTTCTGGAAAGGTAAAATAGTTCTCCATGGCAGCTGCTGTCTAGTCTCACAGTGGCTTTGGTACCACCAAGCTGAATTCTGTTCTCTGCTCTGCAGACTTACTATTAGGTCTAGTAATAATTAATGTCGTTTTCTAATACTTTTTTTAAATCGAATTTATTTAAACAATACAACAAAATTTAATCGACAATATAGTTGCCGTTGTTTTCTACTACTTGTGCCCAACGCTCAGGAAGAATTTTAATCCCTCTGTTGTAAAATTCTTGTGATTTTGATGCAAAAAATTCGGTCAATGCATTTTTGAGGCATTCTTCATTATTAAATTTTTTTCCAAGAAGAAAGTTTTGCAAAGAACGAAACAAATGATAATCGGAAGGGGCAATATCAGGAGAATATGCAGGTTGAGGGAGAACTTCCCATTCCAACTGGCGCAGTTTTTCAGCAGTGATTCTTGCAGTATGCGGTCGTGCGTTAGTTATCGTGGTGAAGAATTACGCCCTTCCGATTAATCAGCGCGGGTTCTTTTTCTCTTAAAGCTTGGGCTAACCTTTCCAATTGGGCACTATACACTGCACTTGTAATGGTTTGGTTAGATGGCAAAAGTTCATAATGAAGAATTCCTTTAAAATTCCACCAAACACACAACATCACTTTTTTCGCATGCAAGTCAGGTTTTGGCATGGGCTGCGGAGCCTCATTTTTGTCCAACCATTGAGGCCGCCTTTTCAAATTAACATACAGCACCCATTCTTCATCTCCGGTAACAATTTGCTCTAAAAACGGCAAACGGTTTTGACGAGAGAGGAGCGAACTGCAAATTGTGACTCTTTGATTACGGTTGTTGTCGGTCAACTCATGAGGAACCCATTTTCCAAACTTTTGGACTTTGCCAAGTGCACACAATTGATTGGAAATTGTTTTTTGTGAACAATTTAAAGTTGTTGCAAGCTCTTGTTGGGTAATTTGAGGATTTTGCACCAAAAGAGCTTGAAGAGCTTCTTGATCAAAATTGGACACACGGCCTCGACCACTCTTGTCATCTAACGAAAAATTTCCCTCGCGAAATTTTTCAAACCAACGCTGGCATTTTCTGGCGCTAACTGCATCTTGACCAAGAGCACTACAGATGTTTTTTGCAGCCTCACTTGCTTTTCTTCCTAATTGGAACTCGTAAAGCATGCAGTGCCGAATATGCTCTTCATCCGCCATCTTCTTAGCCCTAGTTTTGCAACAAAAACCAACCCAAACACAAACTTTTTCAAGCAAAACTTGTTAATTGCACTTCACATGTTCTGTAGATACCACGTGTTTGAAGGTTATGTCAATACAAGTCAACGCCAAGCAAGATTTTAAACGAATGTTTTAAAACGACATTAATTATTACTAGACCCGTAACTTTGATTAAGCCTTTTCACCCTCCGTGCCTCAGCTTTCCCATGTGTCACTGCGAATGTCACGTTGTTTTTACCCTGTTCTTACTTGAGAGCTCTGGCCTTCTTCCAGAAAACATAAGCCATCATGTCATCTGATCAAGCTGGCATCTCACAGGCATGACTTACTGAGCAACCATGGAGGTAACTTAGCATGATTCTACTGCCTAAATTAACCCATTGGTAGCTCTCTCTATTCATTCCTCAGGCCACTTAGTGCTCTCAGACCCCAACAGGCTGCAGTAGCCCCGTATGAAACATGCCAGGGGCCTCGGCGTCTGAGCCTGGAAAGCGTGACCTATTGCGCCCTTTGCCCAGGTTCCATCAGATGCCTCGCCTGGAGGCTGGGTTTAGAAAATGGTGCTCTTACATTTCCTTCATTCAGGTCGCTGCTCACATCCCCTCCTTTCTAAACGTGCTGGTTCCCTTTTGTTCAGGCTCTCCTTGCTTCTTGGTCCTCTCCAGTCTATGCTAACGCCATCCCCAGGTCTCCCTGCTCCGAGAATGCCCCTCATTCAATTTTCTTTTTAGACACTTGCCATTTCCAGGCACGCAGATCCTCATTCTTCTGTGTTGAATATATGTTTCCCTTTGCCTGAGACACTTTCTCTGCCTCTCCACAACTGTTCCCTTAAAGCCAGCCCAGTGCCCCATTGCTGTGACTGCTTTCCATCAGCCCCAAAGGAGCAGCCGTCCCTTCCTCTGTGCCCCCTCCAGGCCTTTCGGTACAGCAGTCATCAGGCTGTCTAGTATGTGCCTTCATTTCCCACTAACCTCAGGAAGTCAGGGTCTGTGAGTTGTAATCTTTTCATCCTCATACGTTAACAAAGAGCCTGCACTTAGTAGGCGCTCAGGAATGATCACTTGTTGGCTGAGTGGAGAAGAGTTGGGATGGAATAAAGACCGAAGTGTCCTCATTAGACTTGGAAAGGAAAAGGCCCCGAGACAGGCAGGAATGGCTACCGTGTGGGGAAATCTCTATGTCTCTTGGAGTAAACTTAGGTGAATGAGGGGGGCAAGGGCAGTTATATGTCCAGCGTGGCAGCTACTGGCCTTATGTGGCTACTGAACACTTGAAATGTGGCTAATGGTGATGGAGATGTGCTGTAAGTAAAAAAATCAGATTTTGAAGACTTCGTATGAAAAAGTAAAACATAACATATATTTACTACATGTTGAAATGGCACACTTTGGATATGTTGAGTTAAATGTACGACTGATATGAATTTTACCTGTTTCCTTTTCCTTTTGAATGTGGCTAATAGAAAAACTTTAATTCCCTATGTATTTCTATCGGTCTAGAAGGGTTATTCTGGAAGGTGCTAGGAAATGACTTGACCAGCTGCACAAGAGAGCCACGGCTCGTGATGGCTACCGTGCGGCTGCCCATCGGTGGTTGGTAAACCTTCCTCTGCCCCGCACACCCAGGGGAGCTGGCAGTGTCCAGTCTGTCTGTGGGCCACAGAGCAGTGGTTCTTAACCAAGGGCCAGTCCTATCCGAATCTCTCCCGGGGTCCAGAGGAAGTAGGGGGAAGGCAGGAGTGTTTTTTTAAAACCTCCAAGTAATTTAATGTGCTGAGTATGCTGCCCACATTATAATGTTTGTAAACTGTTCTGACCCACTAAATCCATCCATAAACGAAAAGCCTCAAGCCCCCTTCACTCATTACGACATGTTTCGACTTGGCACCAGAAACGGGAGCTTATGAACTCTGTTCCTGTGTCACCTGGCCATCGCACTGCGTGCTGTGACTTTCACTGTCTTCCCCAGAGTGCCCCCAGCTCCAGAGTAAACGTTAGTAAAGGCATGGGAATCGGAACCGAGGATCGTCTTCGTTTCACCTAAGACCCTGGATCGCAAGGTCTTGAGCAGGTCCCTCCACTTTGCTTGGAGTCAGCTCCCACATATTAAATATGGACTCACCAAGACCCTTTATTGCTGCTCCGCCTTCCCCCTCCTGAAGCCCATTCCAGGCCTCCCTGCCAGCCCGCACTCCTGCTCTGACTTCGGTGCACAGTGAGGGACACAGTCAGGCCTTGACACTGACACAGAGCCACACTCACTATTTGTCCTCAGAATCAGGGCAGCTCTCTATGCTGCCTGTGCCTGCAGGCAGCCGAGAGCCCCCTCCCACCCGGGCAGCACCGTGGGCTTTGCTCCCAGTTTCATATTCATTTTAATCCCACTGTGCAGCCACTGGAGAAGGGGAGCTACCTCAGGGGACCTGCTTCTTTATAGGATGGTGGTATATGTAACATTTCCTTTTCTGTGCAATTAATTTGTCGGGAGAAATGAAATCCGGCTATAGGAAAATGTGTATTCACTCGAGGCCCAACGCACAAAATTCATGCAAGAGCAGGCCTTCGTTCTCTCAGCTGCCGGCACCAGCTTCCCTCCGGCACCCGGGGCCCGGGCTTCCCTCGCAGCCCTGGCTTCGTCCAGAAGGTCACCCGGAATGACATCCGGTCTAGTTAGCATATTATGCTTTTATTATTATAGATAGGACAGCAAAATCTGAAATTCATGATTTTAGAATCTATTTTTTTTTTTTAATATGTTCAGGAAACTTCTCTGGAGTAAAATTAGGAAGCAGCCTATCTAGGGTGTAAAAAACTGAGGATTAACAGCTGAGTCAGTGTTATCACAGCAACATCTCTGTGCTTTCTAAGGCGAGCACTGCCCGGATTAGGTGTACTTACTGATAGCAGAGAGGGTAAGGCTCCGCCCACGCCTTCCCAAAGCCACTTCATCCCTTTCCTCATCCGTGAAGACTGAGTTAAATGATGTCTGCAGTCCCTTCCAGCTTCAGCATTCTGTGGGTCCCTATATAAATAGAACCTCAAGTGAGCAAAGCTGTCCTCAGTTCCTCTCCTTTTTCACCCCGCCAGAAAGGGTGCACTCGTTGACAAGCAGGAATGCAGCCAAAGGCATGGTTGTAATGGGTGAACACAGCGAAACTGTTAGAAACACCGAGAGTGCTAGAATAATGTGAAATATCGTATGATTTTGTTATTACTATATCGAGCCCTCCTTTCTGATCCCTAATTTAAAACATCACTCATCCATCACCTTTTTCATCTGCTCCCTCTTTTTTAGTGGGTCTTGTTGGGAATGATGGGCCAGTACCTCCTCCTACCACGAATCACAGGACAAGTCACTAGACGTGTCACAGGGAAGCCCGGCCTTCTAAGTCGTACCCGCTCCCCTCCCAGGCTCACCTCTTGTGTTGAGCAGATACACCTCCTCCCCTTATTCTAAAAGTATCAAGCACCCTCAGAGGCTCTTCTTGTATAGGTTTTTTTTCACAGCCACATACCCTTGGTAGCTCTACTTGGTTCTGAAAAGCTCTGGCTCCAAATTCCATGCTCCCACCCTGGCTCTAGCCTCAGACCAGGAGGAAAAAACAATTCAAAGGCAATAGATCAACCTGCAGGCCCCAGGCTTGATCTGGGCTGTTCTGAGGG